GACTGAGTCTTTGAATTACTCGGACCTCATGCCTTTTGTTCCCTACGAGTTGCAAAAGAAATATATTATTATTATTTAATCGAGTACCTCCCACTTTTTACGACATTGTCCCCTTTTCGCACAATCCCCACTACCCGCAAATCCCCCTATCACACCCCAGCCTGACTGTAAACGCACGATCACGCCAGATGGTATGCCACTCACAAGTTGGGAATACACAATATTATTATTATTATTGGTGGTTTCTCTGTGTCCCTTCGAAAACATTACCAGTGAACTTACCGTGTCGTAGTCTGTTATCATTTTCTTGATGACGACTAACTTTCTCCAAATATGCTATTTATAGGACATTGAACAAAAGGGCTTTGGTAAGCGTCCATTTTCTGCCCTGAAATCTTGGAAACTTTTCCCAGATTCAGCGTGGAAGTTTGACAACATCATGCCTACGGCAAGGTTCAAATCATGGCATTTAGTTTAGGAACACTGGCATCACCTACCGCGTCAAATCTTAGCACCTAGAAGAAAATATTGTCCGACACATGCAAATTCACAAATGACACTCAACTTTGAAACTAAATTAAGGATGTAAAAACGTTTGTCATCTATACCTACTCCTGGCGAGTCGAAACGCCTCGCTTGAGCTTTAGTGTAATTACGGTGATTTGTGAAATCTTCGTAGCGGACAGGTGACTATCCACCTTCGTAAAAATAGAGTTCCCCACGGAATGGATGTGAGAGCCTGATGTCGCAGAAGGCGTTAGAAGTGAAAAGCGATCGGTATTTCAACAAGTACAAGTGCGTAACGAGGTCAGTAGCTGAGCAGCACGCTTTCTCGTTTCCACCCTACACACTGTTCGTGGGCTCAGCAACATGCACACAACGACGCAACGTAATGTAGCACTATCGGAAGCCTGTGGTCAACAATTCCCGGAGAGTGGACACTTCATAATCTGAGTTGGTTCGGCTGAAACCTGTACTAGGTTTTCGAAAGTGCAGAAAATCTCTGCAGAAAAAGTACCTAGAGGCGCTCAAAAGCAGTTTGATCCGAAGTTGCTTAACAGTTTGCATGTTAAATGCAGCAACGTGAAAAAAGAAATAGTTTTGAAAATAAAATCGGTGGGACGAATATTTAGCAGTGGAAATACTGACTCTGCTAACCGGTTCCGCCGTAATCGGTGAATGATGCAAACTGGAGAGTGTCGGCCGATAGAGCAAGGAGGTGCGTTTACTGATTTGTTCCGCGAAGGCACTCTGTGACTGTGCCATTGTCACTGTGCATATTGATACACAAATTCTAGGAGGGGAAACGGACTGAGTTTTCTAGCCGGACACTTCGCTTTAGGAAGTGTCCAGAATGCAGTAGTGATTCACCCAAGAATAGCAGGCTAGACCAGACAGTTTGAAGAAGCAGCATTTCAATCGTTATTTCAATCGTTACCCTGGGGTGCCGGAGATATTTAGTCGTCAAAATTATGCCCAATGAACGGCCTGGAAACACAGACCCCATATGTAACATGCTGGGACTCTATTGAATAGCTCTACGCGATTCTGGCGCTGAGGACCGTTGCACTACATACAATCTTATCGATGCGGTCAGGTTAACTGGTTGTCAGGTAGTATATCAGCACCTCTTAATCCTAAAGGCTGGTACGTGAGAATACACACCAATTACGTGGAACAGTATACCCAAATCCCGACTTTCCGATGGGTGAAAACTACATGCATTGGGGACCCACCACGGAAAGTGATTGTGATTTTAGCGTCGCAGAAAGAATTGGTCTGTGGTGCTGTTTATTCGTAAAGTACCCGGAAGAAAAATGTTGCCTTAAACAACGGAGGAACTGATAGTGCATGGAACCTGTATGCATCCTAAATTTCGGACCGACTGACCTGCGTAAACTGTACTGAGTCCCGATTTGTTTGACTAACGGTCTAGTGCACGCTCTCCAATTGAGCTCCGGTGCGAAACAATTCGGGGGACGGCAGAAGAACGATTTTGAAAAGGAGCCTTTCAAAACGTCCTTAGGTGGTGTCATGAAGGGAGCCCGATTGCGAATCAAAAGGTCCCCTGCAGAGTCTCAGCTGATTCAAACGTGTAAAATGAACCGGACTTGATAAAAGTTTGGAATCAGCAGGAATGTCATCATGGAGAGTGTACACTCACCAGTGAACAACCACTATGCCGACATTTCCAAAGTCTGAATCGTGCCGGGACAGTACCATCTGCTGAATTCTGACGCAGCCTGCATGATTACGACCTGATTCATCAGATCCTTGCATCAAGGCCCCGAAAACTCACATAGATCCTTCAGTACCGAAGAACTGCCATTCGCGGGGATGAAAATCCAGCCGTCATGGACCTATGTATCAAGGGAGACTGACACAGACAGGGTGGCTATATATGACCTGAAACTCCGGAACCTCCCCAAACCCATCGCCTGCAAGCTGACGCATACCAAAAGACGGATTTCCGTGTCTCATTACCGGGTCACAAATACGACCTTGAACTTAGAATTTAACTGATACGCAAAAGGTCGTACAATAGTATAGTCACACTGTGGCCGTAGAAATGTTACCAGCTGGCGCAGCGATTGTCCTCGTCCTCTTGGAAGAAACCGGACTAGTTGGCCGGCGCACCGCTTGTGGTTTGTCATTGAAAATTACTTTCAGACTAGAAGATTCTTCCAACACCTCGGTTGTCGGCTAGTTTTGTGCTGATGGCTACCAATCTAGCACACTCGATCACAATCATAATTACGCTAATGCCAAATGTACCCGAAGCGCGCACAATTACGACACAATCATTCTCCATGTTATGGTACAACCTGGAAGACTTCGAAGCAAGAAAACCATGGAAGAGTCCATTCGTGATGCACCACTCATGAGGCTGCTGAAACTTCGGCGATAACCCACGACCGGTTTCACCTTTCTTGGGGCTCATCAGGTAGGCGCAGTTCCCCAGTATCCTTCAACCTTATTTTCTACGTGAAGCCATGGAAAAGTATATTCAAATAAGAATATATGAATTCAAGTTAACACTGCCAATCCGTGACATCAAACGGGAAAGCATCAACTTGGAACGCCCCAGAAAATTGATATGAGCCCAGTTTATATATGACGGAATATCGAGCTTTTTGATTCGAGGTCGTGCAGCGCAAGTGCTTCTTTCTGGCGCAACAGGTCCCACCCAAATTTCAGAAATTTCAGAAAAGGTTGACTTTCGTAGCGGAAGAGGGCCTTAACAACGTGTTTGGTCAAATGAACGAGCAAAAGTAACCAATACAAAATCACAATAAGCAAAGAAAAGCAGCCGAATAAGGACACACGAATGCGTAGATTCAATAGTCCACCACACCGATCCAAATCCACTAATCGGCTATGAAAGAAATATTCACTCGTAGAAATCTCCCACGGATAATTCACGTGTGAGTGGTATGTTCCACGATAGGAAAGTTTTTCGCGGCTAAAAAATGTCACGGAGATTTAATGTGACGTTCAATAGTTCACACAAACACGGAGCTCTAGTCCCACTGGTTCAGCAGTCAACAAACAGTCCAACGGAGCGTAAATCCATTCGTTTCGCAAGAAGTCCGCAAGTCGCGCCGAAAAATTATGTATTGGTATCATTAAAACAAACGTCATGACAAAATAAGTACGACAGTTACAAAATGTAGTTTAAGTTCAGGAAAATGGTAAATACGTGACAACGGATTACACACGCTTGGTGGCCAAGTGAGATAAGCTTATTGAGCGACAAGAGCAAAACCGACCCGGGAAACTTAGGCAAAAGCCTCAATCCTGTGTATCAATCCGTTAATCAGTTAATCCGTGAATATATTTGGGCGTTCAAATCCACAAATAATGTTGGTCCTTGGCGGCAAACTGCCTTTTTTCAAAACCTTTGCAGTTGAAATTAAAAGTTTTACACCAAAATATTTGTTGACTCTACGTGCTTAGATTTTGTTTGATCACATCACTTTTGTGATCGAGTTCACGTGCACCGGCTGGTTGGGCGCGCACTACCACACTCTGGGAAAATGTCGGATGGGCGCGAAGGGAAGGTGCTTTTCGCGAAAGTGGCGGAGCAAGCAGAAAGATATGACGGTAGGTCCTACACTGCCCTATTATACCCATATTTCACCCGGTTTCTTTGCCATGTCCTGCGCTTAACTACCTGGTCCACTCTAGTAAAATATGTTTTTGTTTCTCGATCCCATCAGCACTACTCATTGGAAAGTAACTCGTTGAGCTGTGGCAACATTTCGGTAGGTAAGTACCGGGAGACTCGAAAGGAGCGCGGGGCCGGAGATACGAGCTGCCCAAGCGCAAACAATGAGAAAGTCTGGGATTGGGCTTGAAATACGGTCCTTCGAATTGCCCACTCGTCTCTATGATGTCCGTCAAGCTTGCTGCTGTCTGGGTGTTGATCGCGGATGTTTTCAAATCAACTCCTAACTGTATATCACCTAGAGTATGACAGCTTTGCCCATCAAGGCAAGGTGCGCTAGGCCGTCTCTGGTGCAGTTGGACGAACACTGACCGTGCTAGTTGTCGTTTATAGAACTATTCAAAATCAATGGCTGGATTGCATCCACTGTTTTGCCAGCACAGCACCAGATCTGTTGACAACTCCGAGTGAACACAGGCCCGGCCATCTGCCTACTTTTGAGTGGTGACAATCTGTAAGCGTTTCTGCTCATCCCGGGGCGTCAGTGCGGCCTTGTAGATGAACTGGTCTGACAGGTGTTTCGGGATTCGCTTGGCGAAAAGTCCCACTCGTTCAGCTGTGACGCCCTTTCGGTGCCTAGCTGCCGTGCCATCCGAAGGAAGCACATGGACTGAGACACTGCCAGGTTGCTCTGACGTAGACAGGAGATGTAGAGATGCAGAGGTCGGGTTCAAACCACGGACCTTCTGGTCAATAAATGCGCACTCAAACCAATAAGCCATCTCGCCCCAAAAGTCTTTCATCATTGCAAGGTCCTAGAAGCCAGTACGCAGCTGCCGGAAAACAAGCTCACCATGTGTTCGCATATTCTATACCAGCCACTACCAAGTGCTAGGCGAATGGCGGGACCCACTGCACAACTCGTACGAACCATGATTACTACAAGTAAAAATACTCGTGTCAGGTCAGACGTCACATCTTGTTACCGGCCGAGTCGCGGGGAGGTTAGCGAAAACATGCTATGCTGATCTTCCCTTTCCTCTCCCCCGCCCCATTAATAAATCTAGTATGTCCGTTAAGATCCCCGATTCTCGTTCGTCTTTTATAGGTCTTGACTGCAGCTCGACGCCTGGGCTGTGGCCGCCTTAATGTTCGCGCTCTGAAGCAAGCGGGATAACCAGTTGCTATTACTCTCATACTGGTGTGTGCTGCGTATCAGAATCAAGCGCTCAAGATGCAAACTGGTCTTGCTAACTGCTCTATCACTCCACTGGCTTCCGGCCTCTTTTGCTGTTACTGGAGACCTGAATGCACAGGTGATCAGTGCATCTAAGGCTCATCTAGTTGCTCTGCTCAGATTGGTTTTGGTATACATGGGCAATGTCGAGCGACTGCTTCAACTGTGCTGGGTGCAGGCTGCGAATGATCCGCGCCACATACGGATTGCATCGTCTTCATCGCCTGTTGCTGAAGGATCTAGCCAGTACCGGAGTCAGCCGCCTGATTTTGGACACTGGTGAACTGCTAGACTAGTGGGAAGCTGGTGACTTCACCCGGACAACCAAATACAATATTGTCTCAAAGCAGTTATTTTCATGGTGAACTAAACAGGCTACGTGGTCTCAAAAAACACCGACCAAATCTCGGTTGAACTTGAATGCCATCGCTGGGTTTATCCAAGACAAAAAGCGACCCCGCCTTCCCGTTTCCACTGCGTCATCCATACGGATGATACCCAGCGTCCCCGCCCTCAAGCACCGACCGACCTTCCAGCCCTACTAATCTTGGTGCATGCGAACAACTAGAACGCCCGGGGAATCTGCCTGGCATGCTAGGCATACCTTCACTAACTGCCTTAGGGTCCCAATAAAAGGTGCATTCCGGACCAATCGAACGAGGAACCACATCAAAAGGAGAACAATTCGAGGGGTGACGGAGCGAGCTAGAGTCCAAAATGGCTCATCAACCTGTGATGAGCCAAGCTGAACCTATTACGCCACCCTAAGAATGCACTACACCCTCTTCGTCCGAGAAGACAGCAGGGCCGAGAAGGTGTCCCTCACCATCAAATTCACTGGCAACCCGAAGCCCCTGTTGCACAAGCTGATAACCTACGGAATCAGTAACTTCCGCACCACCGCTTTCCACATTAACGGGACCGTATCAGGGCCCCGGTCAAACCCCTGTTGAGTGCCACGAGACTTGATGATGGTTCGCCTGCTCTTCCTGGTATTCATCAACGATATGCATATACCCAGCTTCCCATGTAAAACGCTTGCCTATGACGTAAACCCGTAGAGAGCTATCTGCCCCCTTCCCCCCGAAAGTCAGACTCAAGCCGACCCGATTAGTCTCAAGCAAACCGGCTGTCTTTCGGTACAGAGCAGTGTCATCTGCTGCTTTTACACCATTTTGTCCTCCGCTCGACATTGTAGGTCCACACTACCTCCCTACCGTCACTGGGACGTGATACCTATGAGTCAACCCCCGGCACAATATGGTGAACAATGTTGCCAGCTACGAACGTCTCGGGCTGTTACGATGGGCCGTCATAGGACATTCGAAAGCCTCCCAAACTCCGGTGTTCAGATCTGGAATATGCAGACGACATTGCTCCCATTTTTGAAAAAGCAGCAGTACTGAAAAGTTGATCAAGTCCCTTTGGTCCCTCGGCATATGTTCCGCACCCATATTCCACAGCCCTGCTGCAGGAGGTAAAATCTTTGAACGTACCTCTAAGAATCCAAGGGTTGACGGAAGTGAACCACCATACTTATTTCGGAAGTCGCATTAACTCTGACGGTTATGAGACAGATGAAGTAAATGCACGGATTTCAAAGACCATAATTACTTTTACCGATTTGCATCACTTGTGGCATCGAAAGGCGTATCGGAGGGTCTCATAGGAGGCGTTTACCGGACTACGGTGTAGGCTATATTATCGCACAACTGCAGGACTTGGCCATTTCGGGTGAATGGTTCGATAAATCTTCAGGTTTTTGATCACCGGAACTATGATAGGAGCCAGCAAATTCGAGTAGTAAGTCCCCGGCGAAGCAGGCGGTAGTTTAATCAAAGCATGCATCCAACAGTGCGAAGTTAAGGTGGCCGAACCATGTGCTAAGCGTGCCGAGTTACCGCCTGTCGAGGCGAGCGCTGTTTTCTGTGCCTAATTCGGAGTGACGGAAATCCAGAGATGCACAGCATTCGACATGGCAGAGGAGAATATAGGATGTTACGAAAAGTCTGGGTGCTGTTCACCTTTCAGGATATCCTCCACATGATCCTCGCGCTTACCTGGAGACACCTAACGGTGTGGCGTCTAATCGATGCGAATGGTTTACATGCTGTCAGTTTCTATCCAGAGTTTTTGATAGGGTATTGGATGTGTAGATACATTAGATGTCTGTGGTAGGCCGAACCTAGGTCCCATCCTCCCCCCATTTTTTCTTTCCATTAGAAAGCCTTATTCAAACAAAACATTGCTGTTCTCGAACGGCGTTCCTCTCAATGGTACTGACCGTCTAAGAATACCCTGATTAACATCAGACCGCACGTCGAAAATGCCATCCAAACCTGGGAATGTTGACTAAAGCGTGACAACAGACCGTCATAGCATACTAAAAGACGGCTCACTAAACTCAGCGAAAAGCAGTTGAGTCTGAGAAGCTCAGTAGTTAAATCGCCAACTTACTGACCGGACGATCCGCTGTTCGCCCCCAACCTCAGCGCTTCGATTGCTGCTGTCTGGGCCTGGGCAACTTGGCAGTATCCCAGCCTTCATGGTTCTTTCGGGTCTCATGGCAACTATGCACCGAAAAGGTGTTACAATTGAACGATGACAGTAATGATGACATACAAGAAACAGTTAGCTAACCTTAATCTACACTCGACTGCCTAATGGAAGGTACGTGGTGATCTTACAGTTACCTTCCGAATCCCACGTGACCCGAACCACGTGCGCGGCCAACTGCCGGCAGCTTTCAACACGATCGTTCGCTGCGGACGCAAAAGAATATCTACGAAAACAGCCATCTCAACTACCATCGAAACTTCTATCTCTCCATGTTAGCCGCTTCTGGAACCTATCCGCGGATACTGCATCCGCATGCAACCTTCAAAACACCACTCAGCCAGCACCTTCATTCGGTGCGGTTCTTTCTCGACACATACAGAAAAGGTTTGTATGGTCGCTGCGCGTGATGCTTCCTGTTTTTTTTTGGGCGGTCGAATGACATCTCGGCAGTTTGAGACAAACATGCTACTTGAGCAGACGGACGGGCTCTGACCATCTGACTTCTTCAAAGTGCAATTAGCAAAAGTTGAGCGAAGGCGGTGGTGCTGCTATTTATCCGACGTCTGAAGTTCCTGCAGATTGCTAAACGGATCCGTTCTCCATCCTCTGATGTTCCCGGCCTTCATCAATGACCTTCCAACCTCCACTTGGCAAACTCCTCGCCGATGACCGGGAGCTTTAGTAAACGGTCAAGCACGAAATCCTCTAGGTCAACTTTCAAAATTTAAGCCATTTTAAATGACTTATAACTCCGCCGCATAGCTTGGCATGCGCTTCACACCTGCAAAGCGTAAAGTACTGCTACAAGATTGGGTGGGATCAGACCCACACCTCATGCTTGCAGGTGAGTCAAACCACGTGGTAGATAAATTTGTTTACCTGGGCAGCTGTGTAAGTTCCGGTGGACTGGCTGGAGACGAGATTATTTATCGATTCAGGAAGGTCAGGGCAGCTTTTGTCAACCTCCGACACCTGTGGCGCCGACGTGACTTCAGCTTATCTGTCAAGGGCGGTGGTGCGATCCATACTGCCTTATGGATCAGAAACGCGGCTCGTACGCGCAGAAGACATACGGAAAATGTCAGTGTTTGTCTACCGGCGTCTCCGAAGCATTTGGTAGGTCTGGTGGGAATCTTCGAA